ATTGCGTGACGTAATTTATAGACGACCCCTTATGTGAATTCCGTGTGGGATTCATTAGAACCCACATGAAACCCATGTGGGACAAGTTTTTGTTTTTTTTACTGGTACAAGGAATGCAGTACTTTCCTACTCACATTAAACTGGCCAGTAAGTTGGTAAAGAGTCCAGAAACATACCTTAAGGATTTATGTAAATAAAACTATTTTAAAAACAGATTTGGGAAAACAGAGCTTACCTTACGAAGCAGCCTTAACTGAAACTTACCTTTTCGTATTCATCGCATGAGAATATATATATACATATTACATAATAAGTTTAACTATGAAACATGAATAACACAAATAAAGTATATTTTATAATTAAAAATAATAATAACAGAAGAACATTATTACAATGAAATATCAAAAGTTAAAATCTTGGAACATAAAAAAAGGCCGATAGAACCTTATGTTCTCATGCGACATATTACTTTTAATAGGAAATAATTGCTAAATTTGGTAAAAAAAAAAGAAGTGAAATCTTAAATTTCTTCATTTGTCTAATTTCGTAGCCCTTTATTAATTAATTAAATAATTTTTTTTTTTTTTTCGTCATTTGACACATTTTACAATGTTAACCTTACATTCAAATAAATTTATACAAATGCAAGCTGACTGGGGCAAGTAGAAGACAAAATGTCTTATCATCAAGCCCCTTCGTGAAAATAAAAAAAATAAAAAAATATTACAATTTCCAATAATATATAAAAGAGTGAAATTAAAAAAAGTTTAAAAAAAACAAATTAAAAAGTTTGAAAAAATCAAAAAGTTGAAAAAATAATTTTTAAGTTTGACAAAACTAAAAAGTTTGAAAATAATAAAAAATAAACAAGTTTGAAAAAATAATTTACAAATCCGTACATATGCGTATACATATCCAATAAACTTCATAATATATATTTAAATATACAAAAGATATTTTGAATTAAAAAAGATTCCGAACATTTTATAGATTTAAGTTCATCTACTCATATATTTTTTTTTTTTAAACAAAATTAAAACAGACAAACAAAAAGAAACAAGAAGAATATATATAAGAAGGATATATGCATATATATACACATACACACATACATATACATATACACATACACACATATACATATACACACATACATATATACATACACACATACACATACACACATATACATACACATATATACATACACACACAATAATATATATATATATATATATATATATATATATATATATATATATATATATATATATATATATATATATATATATATATATATATATATATATATATATATATATATATATATATATATATATATATATATATTATTATGGGGGGATGGGCAGCATTTTTACGGGCCCTTTTCAAAAGTTAAAAAAGATATTTTAGCATTTTTTTTAATAAAAATACTATTACTATTAATAAAAAAACTTGGCCTTTTAATCACGATATTACCTAAATTATACAACCGTAAAAAAAGCAATAACATTTTTAATGCAAAAAAAAAAGAAAAGAATTAACACTCCCGAGGTCCGAATTATATTATAAAACGCAAGCTAAATAAATTTATTATTTTTATTTTGCAATTTCAAATTGATTTTTATTATTATTATTATAATGCGTTGTTAATTTTTTATATCATAAAAAACAAACAATAAAAGAAGGTTTGCAAAAATTTATATTTATCTTTCGTTAGTTTTTCACGATAAAATATTGGTATGAAAAAAGTGAAAATTGGTGCCACTAAGAGAAGAGAAAAAGCTACACCCTTGGAGAAAATCACAAAATACCCCAAACTAACACATTTTTTGAAACCAGTAGTTTAGCCTGGAAGTGTTTCGACACTTACAAAAACTACAAATAATTCTGATTGTCATTATTTGAATACTAGAGTCAGATAGGTTGATATGCGAGTCTACATCAAATGGCATAACAATTCCGGCTATTTTTCTCAGTGATGATCCTTCTGAGTTGCTTGACGATGTTTCTGACGCACAGAGGTGTGACATTATTAAACGTGGTTTTAAAAAGATTGAAATTGATTTTCCAGGCAATTTAGAAAGAAGACAAATTTCACTGAATTATTATAACAGCAAGATGAAGAATGGAAAAATCTTTGAACGGACATGGCTCGTATATTCTTTAAATAGCAATAAAGTGTTTTGTTTTTGTTGCAAACTTTTTGGGAACTTCTCCACCATTCCGACAAGTAATGAACACTTGGGAAGGCTTATCAAAAAAACTTAAAGAATACGAAACATGGAGTGCACATTTTAAGTGCTTTGAACACTGGATGACTTAACGAAAAGGTTAACTCATATTTCTTTTAATTTATTGCTTTCTTACTATTTTTTCATAATTAAGTTTTTTCCCTCAATTTTTGTAATGCAGGCATTACAAATCAAACTACCATAGACGAGCAACAACCAAAGTTGCTCGTCTATGCAGTCTAGTGTTAGAAAGGATACTAGAAATTACCTTATTTCTTTCTGCATGAAATCTTGAATTCCGTGGTTCAGACACAACCATTGGTTCAAAGAGCAATGGAAACTTTCTTGAGATGTTTGAATTATTGGCTAAGTACGATAGCGTTCTCAATGAGCTTATGCAAAGAATTCAGGACAAACAAACCAAGGAGCACTTTTTGAGCAATGACACACAGAACGAGGTTTGAGGAGGAGATTGAATCCAAAAACTGTCTAAGGTAAAAAAATACTATTCTATTATTTTAGATTGTATGCCATGCATTTCGCACAAAGAACGAATGATCATTGGTCATCTATCAGTGCAATTTCTTTTTTTGGTGTTTTTTCAAGGTTGAATACTTTTTTTTCATTGTCTCCTCCTCGATGGGAAATTTTAAAATTGTGCGTGGCTTTTTCTGTCAAACCACAATCAGATACCAGATGTATCAGATATCAGAAAATAGAATAAACTGTGTTAAACCACTTCACTGTTATTTAAAAGAAATCTTAGAGGCACTCGAAAGTTTGGAAGAACATGACTTTTCTTATTATCAATGATGTTTTATTTCAAATCAATAAATCAAGTAAGCTTTTTCAGTCTTCTATAACCTTTCAAGCTAGTGAAATAAAGGCATCAAATGCATTTCTTTATGAGTATCGCAAAAATGGATTTTCTGACGCACGTATTAAGGCATCAGAAATCGCAGAAGTATTGGGCATTGAAAAGGTTTTTCCAATAATACGTTTACGAAAAAAACCCTGAATATAAGTATAAAGCAGATTTTGCCATTAATTGATATATCAATTGCGTCAGTAAAATAGCGTTTTGAACAGATCAGCATTGTCACAAAGCTTAATGACTTTCTTTACCAATCTGAGAGTCTTATCAAAGCCTGTAATGAAAATTCTTTGTCTACATATTGCAAAAATTTGCAAATGATATTTGCTTGATGATATAGATTTTGAGGATTTAGAAATAGAGTTAAAACGATTTGTTATAGTTAACAAGGAGAAAAAAAAAATGCCTCAAAGAAGAGCTGCAAGAAACTTAAAGTTAGAAAATTAGCAAGTTAAAACTAATTAAAACTTTTCAAAGGTTAGTATAAATAATTTTGCTTCATTATACATAAATACATGTAGCTATATTTCTTTGTATCTTTAAATAGGTTAATGGTCGATGAGCGTTTGTCTTCTTTAACAACGCTGTCAATTGAAATCGAGGTTGCAAAGAAATTAAGTTATGAAGGGCATAATAAATGAGTTTGCAAGCATGAAAACACGTCGCAAACCCTTTTTTTGATGGTTTGCGACGTACTTATATTATCTGCGTAAAGGTGAGTTTCCACTCATCCGTTTTTTCACGGGAACGGGATAGGAAAGGGAAAAATAATCACGCGAGCATGCGTATTTTTCCTTCAGACATATTAAAACTTATACTACGGATGCCCACGTGATTATTTTTCCCGTTTCCCCCGAAAAAATAGATGAGTCTAATACATTAACAGTATTTAAATACTCTTTACTAGTAAACTCTATCAGTGGCACCATTTCAAATTTTTGGTCTTTGAGATAGCTAACTTCCAGACATGGAGCAAACTCGAATCATTTATATGTTTATAGTTATGGCAAATAAGGATACTTTGCAAATAATTGCGATGATTGGAGCCTGGCAACAAAAAAGATACAAACTTTTTGCCCCCCTGCCCCAAACGTGAGAGCAATAAGTTGATAAAGTATTTTTTGAACTATTTTAAACTAGACTTATATTCATCGATAAATTTAAAGTTTCATAGTATTATCTCTCAGCGTTCAAAAATTATGATTATATAAAATTTACAACCCCTTCAAATTGAGGGGGGTTTAAACTTTATATGGTTATAATTTTTGAACGATAAAATATTTTACTATGAAATTTAAAGTTTTTTGATGAATATAAGTCTAGTTGAAAATAGTACAAAAAATATTTTATCAACTTGTTGCTCTCACATTTGGAGCAGGGGAGGGGGAAAAAAGTTTGGGGCTTTTTTGTTCCCAGGCTCCAATCATCGCAATTTTTTGCAAAGCATCCTTATTTGACATAAATATAAACATATAAATGATTGGAGTTTGCTCCATGTCTGGAAGTTAGCTATCTCAAAGACCAAAATATTGAATTGGCGCTACTGAACTCCATATCAATTTAGCAATTATAAAATATATTTAATCGAATTTAAGCGTTAATTTGATTGTTTTTAGTCTTATGAACGGCGACGTTAAAATATGTCAGGTACCCTGCTTTTTGGTGTAATCTGTAAATTTTATCCACTTTTTAAGAAATAATAAATAAAAAATTGAGGCCCAATGGCTAGTTTTTTTTTTTTTTTTTTTTGGGAGGGGGGCAGACTCACTTACCACGGCATTTAAAGTAACCATTTTTTAAACAACCTGATTTTTAATTAACAAACGCTCTTAAGATGCGCGCGCAAATGGTGAATAATTAATTAAATAACTTAGGTGAATAATTAATTAACTTAACTCTTTACTTAATTATTTGCCGTTTACACGCGCAGCTCAAGAGAGTTTCTCAGATGACTAATTTTGAAAATTTGTCTGGTTTAATTTATGTCTTATGTCTCTGCGGCCAATACAAATATTCTGTTTTTGGGTCATTCACGTTTTCTCAGAAATTTAGCAAATTCAAAATACTGGAAAGAAAATGTTTATGGTAAATATTAAATTTAAATAGATTTATACTTATCAAAAGAAATTCTAAATATATAAAACTTGTATTATCAGTTTTGATATTGTAATTATGACATAAGTTATTTTAATGTGAGTTTGAAAGAAACCATGTCATATCTTAATTTCTTTTACTTCAAAAAACATTTGTAAAAAAAAATTTAAGTTTAGTTATTATTTTTATATATTATATTATAAGTGAATTTATATAAAAATAAAAATATTTAAAAAAAATTTACTTGAAATTATATTTTTTTAGAGTTTAATGCTATAATTGATATGTTTTATCCAAATGGTATGTACTTGATAGTTTAGTCTTGAATTTACATAATATTATTTATATGCATAAAATGACAATCAAGGAGTATCAATGACACATATGTCATTAATATTCCTTGTAATCTCATTAAATGCTTTATATTATTAGATAATTTTGTTGACAACCAAGAAATGATAGTTATGACACAAATAATGAAAAAACAAGTAATGAAAATAAATAAACAACAACAAAAATAACACACTTATATAAAGTAGCCCTAATCATTATTTTTTTTAAGCACAGTAAAAAATTTAGGCATATAAAATTATATTAACAATATATAGAATTGCTAATTGTAATTAAAAATACAAACTATATATTGGCATTTCCATTTCTGTGTGTGATTTTTCGTTTAGTTTTATTTTTATACTTAGAAGCAGGACTTGAAGTTATATACATAACTTCAAGTTATGTATATAATTTCAAGTTATAACTATAAGTTATATTATGATTTTTTTTTTAAAAATCATTACAAAAATATATTTATTATATTTTAAGCTACCTGAATGTTTATATATATATATATATATATATATATATATATATATATATATATATATATATATATATATATATATATATATATATATATATATATATATATATATATATATATATTTAATCATATATATATATATATATATATATATATATATATATATATATATATATATATATATATATATATATATATATATATATATATATATATATATATATATGAATGTCATGCGTAACCATATATGAACTGCATTTAAACTTTATATAAATAAGAATTAAATGAGAGTAAATCAGAGATCGCAAGTTAAATTTTGAAAATTCTAATAGAGAGTTTTATTTCCCAGTATTTTAAAATTTTTGTTGTTGATTTGTCATTCGCTATCTCACCCTATCTTCTCATACATAAAAAAGGAGTTATATATATGAAAGAAGTGCTAAGGCATTTTAAAAATAAACTAAATTGCAAATAACAAAAAAATGACTCATACACATAAATATATATAAAATATCCTTTTTAGAGAATAGTTTGAGCATGAAATATATATGTTAATATCAATTACCATATGTTATATCAAATAAAACAAAATTTTGCAGACTGACTTGGCAGAAAATATGCTTTTGTAGGCCAAGGCATCAGCTATCACAGAAATACCCTACAGTATTCTTTACATCCATTTGTGATACCATAAAGATAAAAAGAATATACTAAAACATATTTCTTACTTCTTTATATTACTACACCTTTACACACAATATCATTATTGTGTAAAAACTTTTTTAACCAACCACAACCACATTAAAGAGATAATTGTACTGCACAACCTGCACAGGGTTGTGCAGGACAGTACAAAATTGTAAAGCTTTTATTTGTATGTGTACAAGGATAACTGTATAAAGGTTGACAAAAAAAGTTTGTAATAACCATAATAAAACTAAATACTCACATCAAAAAACATGATTGATTTTTTTATATTGAAAAAGTCAAAGATATTAAATTCATTTAGATAAAATAATCTGACTTAATGAAAAAATATGGTGTAATACCTTATACTCATAGCTTTCGCTAGTTTATAGATTGTTGGGATAACAGGGTTGGGGAAAAGCAGAGCCGTTTTGAGGCGGGCATAGGGTTTTCTAGCCCCCCTACTAAATTTACTAGTCAGCATATTAGACACTGGAGTCAGAAAAATTCTATCTATTGTTGGTAGTTGGAAAATGTCATCTAATGAGGACCTTTTTTTTTTTAGATCATAGTTGGAAAAAAAGTTTTTTTTGGCTTTAGTCGGCAAAAAACAGATACGTCACCCCCTTCTCTTTAAAATCTCTTCAATTTGGCCCTGGAGAAAAGTGGTGTAGTACAGACAATAACTATACAATAATCTGCAAACTTTAAATGAAACAGAAACAAGAGGTTTGAAGGTTGATCTCAGCTCTGACAACATCAGTAAGAAAGGAGACATAAACTTATTGGTTAAATGCTCCTCTGCTGTGCTTTGTCTTAAGTCTTCTTGAAGCCTTTTAATAAATAAAAATAATAATAATATAAATTAGATTTTAATAAATTAGATCTAGTTATAAATTAGATTAATCCAATTTGTTTAAAACAGGTTACATTACACATAATCAGAAAAACAATATAACTTTAGAATTTGGAACATGAAATTAATTTAATACATGGAAATTTAGGAATGCATTAGTTATTTTGTGGCCAGAATAAACTTACTTTTCTATTATCACTGTTTCAATGTTTCAATTAAAATAATTGTAAAAAAATAGTTGCGTAATTTCTCAATCATCTATTCAATGAATTTCTCATTAAATATTTTGTAGTCAATTAATTATACTCTACTATAAACTTGGTAAATTTATAAACTATTAATATGACAACTACATTTAAAAAGTTTATCTAGTGATTTTTCAAAATAGTTAGGAAAAAAATGTTTTGGTTATTTGAAGTTTTTAGGATTTTGTTTTCATATATACAATTTAATGGTTGATCTATGTTATTGTTTTTGTTTTATCTACCATAAGTAACACTGCCTACATAATTTAGGAATTCATACCTTTAAACAGCAGTGCTTATTAGTTTTCTAATTTCTTTACCTTACAAATATTAGTGCATGTAATTCTACCAGTTTGATGTTGTTAATGCAACAGCATTAACAACATCAAACTGGTAGAATAATTTGTTTTTGTGTGTGGGTTTAGTTTACATCTGATTAGTTTTTGCAAGTCGCGTGAAAATCACTATTTTTTATTTAATTTGACATAAAAAATCCATCGTTTTCATATTCAATAATTTCAAAAACATGTAAAGTTCCAAAATCAACTGTTAAAATTGTTATAAAATGTTATAAGGAGAACGAAACTGTAAACAGAAAATCAAGAATTGGTGGAAAATCAGGATTTATTTGCGAAAAGAAGGAAAAATCAATAGTTGACTCATTTCATAGAAACATACAGTTCATAGAAATTTGACTCGTTAACAACAAGATTTAGCTAAAAAGTTTAAATGCAGTTTTTTGTTCAAAGAGTATTCAGAAAGGAAAATCTGAAAGCATGTTACAAGAAAAAGAAACCAAAATGGTCACTTGGTGGAGAAATTAAAGCAATTAACTTAAGTTAAAAATTTCTTTAAATTAATGACAAAAAAAAAAGTATATTTTAGAAGACAATAAAATTTCTTGTAAAAAAGATTACTCTATGCTTCCAGCCAATCAATATTATTAATATTACTATTATCAGTTGAAATTCTATAAAGTGTCTGACATATTTAAGTACATTTGAGTCAGAAAATTTGCTCCTAAGTTCTTTGTATGACAGGCTATTTTTGATATTATTACAAATCAATATTTTATATATGACTGAACGCTTGGAACGCTTCTTCCTATAATATTATATTATAATATTAATTAACTAACTTAAATATATGTTTTATAGTTTTAACTTAATTAAGTCTTATAATTAAAGTCTTAATTAAAACTTATTTAAATTAGATTTAATCTGCAATTTTTTTTTTAATTTTTATTTTTTGTTAATTAAATCAATATTGAACAAAACTGAATGCTTGGAAAAACTGCTTCTTCCTATAATGAAAATGCACAACAACCTTTTAGCAAAATTTGGCATTGATCAAAATAGTAATGGAGTGGTATAAAAAAAATAGAGTGAATTTTATTCCAAAAGATGTTCACCAAACTGAGTGACAAGTCATCAAATCTGGCTGATTAATCCTGAAAAGAATACTGAGGATCAATTTTTTTTTACCCAATTAAATGTTATTAAAATTTGACAAGTATTAGATAAGTTAATCTGTCTAACATGCTAAAGTAAATTACATTAAATGTTTGCTCAGTGAATCACCTCATAGTAATTCATAAAAGTTGATAAGCCTATTATAAGACCAGTTGGTACAAATTGTTGGCTAAAGATATTTATTTAAAGTTTTTTTATTTTATTATTTAACAGAACTAAGATTGACACATGTTTTATTTATAACACTTGAAGAAAAAAAAAAATCATTAAAATAATTGATTAAAGGTTTTTTTCAAAAACCTCAAAAATGCAGCTTGAAAACACAAGTAAAATTTTCTCATTAAAATTTTTTGATATTGTATTTTAAAATTGTTGATCTTTTTTTTATTTTTATTACTTGTTTGTTTTTTTCTTCATTTTTATTTGTATTTTTTTATATAAATTAATTTCTGATAATTTTAGTCATCTGCACAAAGATAGCTAGAGATAAAAAAAAGTGTACCATACATGTAAAAGTTTAAGTACACTAAATAAGAGTGTGCATATGTGTGTGTATATGTGTGTGTATACACTTATGATTGACGTTCATTACATATTTGTAAGTATTTCACTATGTAAAATTGTCTTCAAAACTTTTTGATTATAGATTTTTGATGTTGAATATTTACTTTTGTTTTTTTTGCTGCACCCACCACCAGGGAATAAAACTATTAATCACACACTTGCTCATGCGATAAATTGGTCATGACAATGTGCTGAAGCAGTTGATTATCTACACAATATAAAGCCAATGCCATCATACACAGAGATCTAAAGCCACCAAAGTTTATATAAATGTTTTTAAAGTTATCCATCAACTGTTAAAATTAACCTTTCCACATCAGTTGTTGTTGGTTAATTTTAGTAAAGGTCAGCTTGACTTCACTACTTGTTTTCGAAGTTCTTCCAGAAATCAAGGCAGTTGAAAGACAATTAAGAACCAAGATTATCGTTCAGCACATCTTTGGTACATTTGGTTAGTCTGGGGTTTAATTTTTGGCCTATTATTGATTAAGATTATGCATTGATATTTATCTTCAAAATAGACAAGCTTTTAATAATAGATTTTTCTGAAACTTTTTTGGATTCATTGAGAGATGGTAGTTAAAAATCTAGTTTTCTCTATATGTTTTTGCTGCGTTACATCATCAAGGGAATGAAAAAAATGTTTAAAAAAATCATGTTAGTCATTTAAGGTTGCAATAGAATAGTTCTTAGTTTGTTCCATACACAAGTAACAAATTGCCATTGCAATTTTTATTGCTTGCTTTATTTTTATCTCATCATTATCTTCTCTTGGACTTTCAAGTGATTTCATTATAGTTGTCTCAATGGGGGTGCAAGATAAGTTACTAATGCACTAATGCAAGAATCACTTCCAGAAAGCAGAAAATTTAATGGTTTATTTAAAAAGGCGCAAAATCTTTAACCACTTTTTCTCAAGTATTCCAGTATTCCTATAAAAGTGCAATGTCAGAGGATGGCAACACGTGTATTGTGGCACCAGTTGCGGGTTTAAGAATACTTTGCAGTATCTAAAAAGTCAAGCTCTCAAACAAACATCAACTTTTGAAGTAACAGAGCTTCAGTTGTTACCAGTCCTTTGAAATAAAATGAATTGTCATTCTAGACCAACTGTTATGAAATTAGCATAACCAATAGACACAATACTTTTTTTTCTTTCATAAATTAGCCAATAGACACAATACTTTTTTTTCTGCTAAGCAATTTTTTTAGAAAAAGTTTTTTTTATCTTATGGATGGTCCAACATACTTTTGTAATTAGACTGCTCTAACTTATTTCATAAGTTAGAGCAGTTTGGCAATTGTGTCACAAAAAAACAACCTTATTGACAACTGACCATGGTTGCGTGTCAAGAAAAATTATTTCAAAAATAGACTTTTTTAGTTTAATAGAATTTTTAGTTCTAATTCTGAGTTGATTCAATTTTTGTGCTGGTTTCAAAACAGTTGGGCATAGTAGATTGCAATATTTTCTGCACTTTACTTAGAGTTAATATTGAAAATAGGAGTTATTCTTTTTTGGCTTTGTTTTGAAATAGTCACCTTTTTTTGGAACATTTTTTACATTGCTGAAGCAAATTATATTTTGGCAATAAATTACCAATATAAGGAAAATGCTTTTGCATAAATATATAAATTTTAAAAAATCTAAAAAAATAACTAAAAGCATCAACAAAATGTTATTATAGTTATCATTTTTAACTGAGAGTTTCAGCCAATCACTACACAAACACATGCACACACAAACAGTTGTCACCTCTTTAAAGCATCAAGGTATACTTATACTTATAAATATACTTGGATTGTTATACATAAAAAAATACTTGGATTGATTTTTTTTCTTTTTTTCACATTTTATTAGACAATCACAATACTATAGAAAGTTTGCCTTTATCTCCTCCATGTGGTTTTATTAATGAAATAAGTTACAATGAACTTAATTTATGCGAAGTAAGTGTGCTTAATAAGTTATTTATTTCTTTTTCAACTTTTTTGTTTATATTAATAATATTAGCTAGAAGATGCTTACACCAAATACTTGTAAAGTAGTAATGTAGTAAAAATTTTAACTAACATCAAAAAATTAATTAAAGGATTATCAATTCCATGTCTAAATAAGGTAAGGAAGGATTTAGGCACCGTTTCACCTCTTCTTTTTAAGTACATTAAAAAAAACTTAAAAAAAAAAATTTTGAAACAATGTTCAATTTAAAAGCAGCTTGATTTGTGTACTTTTGTAGCACTATATTCCAACAAACCTGTTACATAAATTTTTTCTTTTCTTTGTTAACTGGAAGAACAAATCTGTATATTACATTGTGCTGCATGTGGCACTGTCTTTAGTAGATACAACATAAAACACTTGAAGCATTTAATTTTGATAGAATACATAACTTAAAGGATATGGTATTACATAAGTTATATAATGAATTCTATTTTAAAAATTACTTTTTTGTTCTTATGATGTTTAAGTAGATGTGAGTTTAAGTAAATGTCAGTTTAAGTAAATGTCAGTTTTTTTTTTCTATTAAGAGGATATCGTTATTACCTTTTATGTCTACACCTAATATATAAATTTTTACATGTCTGCACCTAATTATAAAAACACTAAATTTTTATATGTCAACACCTAATATATAAATTTTTTTTCATAAATTTACTGATTATCTTGTAGCATAGTTTTACCATATAATTTTTAGGCTAACAAATTTCTATGCAAATTTTGACAATAGAGAAAGCAAGTTTGATAAATTAAAAACAAAATTTTGGACAAATTTACACCTTTAATATTTCCAATGACAGCAACAGTTATACAACATACTTCTTGTTATTGTAGATTAATTTTTATTATTATTATTATTATTATTATTATTAAACTTTAGGTAATTGGAAGAGGTGCTTACGGTACTGTTCAAAAAGCAATATGGAGAAATCATATAGTTGCAATAAAAATTCCAGAAAATCAAAATGATCGTAAAGAATTTAGAGATGAAGTAAGTTTTTGAGTTTTGCGAATAAATAATAATTAAGATTTGAATTGGAAAGTTTGGTACTGAAAATATTCAAGTTTGTTTTAACTTTAGTTTAACCTCATATTAAATTTTTTTTTAGGCTAAACGGTTATCTATTGTGCAGCACAGAAACATAATCCAGTTATATGGAACAGTTATAAATGGGCCAAAAGTATAACACAGTTATTTTCTGAAAATTGTTCAACCCTTAGATCTGTTGTCGTTCCATAATCATGTTTCATTTTCTTTTTTATTATTATTTTATTTTTATCAGCTGTCTCTACCTACACCATTATGTCATTTAATCAAAATTTAATATTTTATCAATATCAACGATTCTTTAAATAATACTCTTAATTGATAAAATCAGCATGTCAGTTAATTTTAATAATGTCATTATTGTTTTTCTATCCAAGGTTGTTATACTCATTTTTTTAAATCTTTTGTTATAATTTTAGAGATTCTGTGGGTTTATTAAAGAATATGGTCAAATAAACCTGAGCAAATCAAAGGAACCTATGTTTTTTACGACAAAACCCGTTTTTCTGTATAATAACTTACTTAAAATTGAAAAATAAGACAAATGCATCAAAAAAGCAGGTTTCCACTGATTTCTTTTGGAATCTTTTGTTATATTTTTAAAGATTCTGTGGGTTTATTAAAGAATATGGTCAAATAAACCTGAGCAAATTAAAGGAACCTATGTTTTTTACGACAAAACCCCTTTTTCTGTATAATAACTTAAAATTGAAAAATAAGACAAATGCATCAAAAAAACAGGTTTCCACTGATTTCTTTTGGAATCTTTTATTATATTTTTAGAGATTCTGTGGGTTTATTAAAAGGTTCCTTTGATTCACTCAGGTTTATTTTACTATATTCTTTATTAAACCCACAGAATCTCTGACAATATAACAAAAGATTCCAAAAGAAATCAGTGGAAACCTGTTTTTTTGACGCATTTGTCTTATTTTTCAATTTTAATTTATGTTATAAGTTGTAGTGTAATATGGTAAATGGTATCAAATTTAACTATGGTATCATTAATTCAAAATTAATTTATAAATTAAGGACTTAAAATCACTATAGTTAATATCTTAAATTAAGTAAATACAGTAGAATCCCATTGACTCGGATTTTGAAGGGGTATATATTATCCGACTTGGCAAATGTCCGAGTTAAATGAAGCTCTTGTTATGTTGGGTTTTTTGAAAATGTCTGACTTATCAAGATTATATTATATATATTGAGATTATATAATGATATATTGAGTTGTTTTTTTTGACCATTCAGCCAAGGTTTGCTTAGGAATGCCATATTTCTTTGATATAGATACAGATGGTTCTCTTTTGTCAGGTTCTCTTAGTAATATGTATTTTACTGTTATAGTTCTACTTGTTGTTATAGTTACTTGTTTGCTTTCTTTTAGCAACCTTTGACGTTTTTAGTAAATAAAATTTAATCAAAGGTTATCCAAATCATTGAAATTGTTTAGTTTGTTAAATTATATTTGACGCAAAGATATTTAGTTTTCAAATGTTTTAAGTTTTGAGTTTTAATTGATGTTTTTGAATTTTTATCAAAACAGTCAAATTGAATTTAATCAAAGGATAACTAAGTTGAAGATATCAGTTATATTATTTAGTTATGTTTAATTATATTTGGCGCAAGGTAAGGTATATATTATTTTTAAGCGTTCAAAAGTTTAGAATTTTTATAAAGTATTAAAATGTTTGTTATTAAATGGACTTGTATGCAATACAAAATAAAAGTCCTAGTTAGGCAAAGGTTTTTGCCAAAGGGACCCCAAAAAACTGTATGAGTTAGCGAATAGGTCAAATAGACCCCAAAAACTGTATGAGTTAGCAAATAGATTGACTTAACCAGTGTGCAACTAATGCGAATGATTTTATAGTAAGTTGATTAAGAAAGTTCAAGGGGAATTGAAAAGCCATCGGGCTTATCCGGGGTACAAGTTAATGGGATTCTACTGTATTTTCAAAAATGTATTTTTATTGATATTTTAAAACTTCAACATTTACAGCAAATATAAGAAAGCCCCGTAATCCTCCAGAATAGTAGATTTTAATGATAGTTATTTGCATTTATTATTTAATGGTATCCGGGAAATTTGTCAAATACACAATATGTTTATTATCAACAACAAAATTTTTTGCTACTAAAAATCCCCTGTAAATTTGTTTGTTTATTTTAATATTTGTTTTTAAAGCTGTGCTTAGTGATGGAGCTAGCAGATTGTGGTTCATTACATAATTGTAAGTATTTTGCTATGTAAAATCTTCTGCAAGGTTTTTTTGATTATTAAATGTAGATTTTTGATGTGGAATGTTTTTTTATTTTTTAAGTGCTGCACCCACCACTTGGGAATAAAACTATTCATTACACACTTGCTCATGTGTTAAGTTGGTCATTACAATGTGCTGAAGCAGTTGATTATTTACACAATATAAAGCCAATGCCTATCATACACAGAGATCTAAAACCACCTAAGTATATTTTAATTTTATCAATAAATACTGACCAGAATTTTTGTTAAAAAGAATTATTTGTTTTTGCCTTGGGCTCAAATGCTAGCTGTTTAAGTTATGTACTGCATATGTCACATTGCTTATTTCACATGTTTATGTTTTGTTTTTAGCACATTCTTCTGAAAAATCCCTATTACATAATTTTTTTCACAGTAATGAGTTGCATTATGTTATGCTTCTGTGCTGCATTATTCATAACACACATCTATTCATAGCATACATCTGTTTTCTATTTTGTCATTGTACATTAGGAAACACCTTCAGATTAACAACAAGATGTAACATCTCAGAGAAAACTCTTATGTTACACCTTAGAAAACACCTTCAGATTTTATCTTAGAGTATACCTTTGCTTCATTGCCAAACTTGGTGCTTAGTTTAAATTGTACAGTATCTTTAGAGAATTAAGTTTGTCAAAGTTATAAATGAATGAAAAAACCTTTTTTTACCCTTAAAGTTTAAAACTTTTTTTTTTTTTTATATATTTATGGAAAAATTCTTAATGACTAAACCATATGACCAAAATTAATATGACACAATCGCATAAATTATGATATACACACACTGAGGCTTTTTGTTATTTGTTTACTGTTATTGTTACTATGATCAAAAATAGAGTAAACATTATTTTTAATCTAGTGAAGAATATTTTTTTGAATAACTATAAGCAGTAACTTTTGTGTTATTTATTATTTATTTTAGTATAGTCTATTTAATTTACATTCTTATAATTTAGCATGTTGTTAAAGCAATCTGGGACTGTTTTAAAAATATGTGATTTTGGCACAGCATGTCATCCTCATTCAGAAATGTCTTCTAATAAAGGAAGTGCATCCTGGATGGCACCAGAAGTATTTATAGGTAACTTAAAACTTAAAAAAAAATATTTGAATCATATAGTATTTTCTTTTTAATATTTGCTATAAGTTATTTATGCTATTGCACCAGTTTAATAATAATTTGGTTCAGCTTGTGAGAAATTATATTTAAACAGGTGCAATATCATAAATAACTTTAAGCAAACAAGCCAAATATTCCTTTCAGTGACATATTGCGTCATTGATACATTTAATTAAATTCAAAAACCTTTCAAACAAATCAAATATCCATTTCTCAACCTTTTCAAGAGGGCTCTCCACTAGCTTGAAAAAGATGCCTACCAATTCAGTAGACTCTGTTGACCAGTTGCAGGAGTCATCTAATCAATTGCTCATTCCAATTAAGGCTGATGATCCTTTCATTCCAATTAAGGCTGATGATCCATCTTGTTCACCTATTTAATACTTAGCTAGATTTCTGCAGTAAAATACTCTCTTCGGCCTTTAAGTTTTATTACTAGTAAGAGTCTATAAAATGACTTTTAATAAAAGTGTAACTCTAAGATGTGTTGCCTGCAGAGAAACCAGACCAAGTGAGGGTATATGTGAAAATGCTAATGGCTTCAATAAATACTCCATTGTGTTGCAGCTTATGGCAAAGATCTGATCAACAGTTACCTGGAAGATTTAATAAACTTTACATAAATTAAACTATAACTTAAATTGGCATGTTATTATTTTTTATTTAAATAAGCGTAATACTTGTCAGCATATCTAGGCTCAGGTTTTATTAAAAATGTATATAATAAGCATATTGTTGAGCTTTCATTTAAATTATGTTTTTATTAAGTTAAAGTTTTTTTTTTTTTTTAGGGTTTAGATGGCACACAAATTAAGTTCATCAAATTTTAAATAATAATCATATTAATTTCAAAAAACATTTATTAATTTAATAAAAATAGGTTTAATACAGATTCTTGTAATGAGTTAACCCTGATATCATTGATTGGTTTATTATTTTTACTTTGCACTGTATTCATGTTTTTACATTAAAGAGTTAGTAAATTAAAAAAAATTATCTTGACTATTGATTCTTTTGTGATGATATATTAACCTTCGATGAGGTTAATATATCACTCCAATCATTTCACAATCACCAAAAAAAAATTTAGTAATGTGAAAATGAAAGCAAACTTTTTCATGTGTTTTACACAGCATTTTATTGTTAGAAACTGGAAACGGTTATTAGTTTTTTACTAAATAATTTTTTTGGTTAATTCAACTTTATGTAAAAAGTAAAGTAGGTAAGAAAAAAAAAATATTTACTTTAGTAAGTTTGCACAAAAGTACTATAATATCATTTAATAAAAAATTATTTTTTTAGTTTAATAAATTTTAGGCGTAATATTTTAATTTACAAGTTAAAGTTTATTAAAGTTAATACATTTAATTTGAATAATATAATTATAATACATGTATATTAAACATGTTTGTGATAATTTTTATGTTTTATAATTGTATATAATGTTTTAGGAACAAGGTATGCTGAGAAATGTGATGTTTATAGGTAAAGTTGTTTGTTTTTTCAATTATTTTTTATTTAAATAGAGTTTTTTATTTTAACAATTCTATAATGTTTAATGTAATTTACCTTAAACATATTTTTGTTGTTTTGAATTTTTTAATACTAGTTAAATACTATGAAAACTTGTTGTTTTCAGGTCGTTACAAAAAATATAATTAAATATTATAATAAATAACATAATTGTATTATATTATATATAATACAGTTATATTAATAAAAATTAATTAGAGTTGTGTCTTTAAAATAATCTAAAGGCTTTTAAACTAGATTATTGCAATAATGATCTTTTAAATTTTCAGGTCATTGTCATGCTTAGGATCATCATGATTACTCTACTGGTAACATGTTATCCAGTACAACCTGTTACATGTCCTACTGCTCTGTAGGATTTCCTTTTCTAGTCAAAATCTAGGAAAAGATAACTCTGACTTAAAATATCCCCTTTCTTGGTGCTATTGGTTGATTAAATGCTAGAGATGGCGTCTTATTTAAACTACCCATCTTTAGCAGATTTAGCAGCATCCAGCTACTATCTTTAAGAAGGCCTTCTAGGCAATGGCTTTAGGGGTAAGCAGAAAAATTCTGTTGACCAGCCATGCACCCCTTCTCCATCTATTTGGCTGGTATAAATGTAAACCTGCATTAGATTGTTTTCTGTCTAGGATGATGACCGCTGGATCTGTTTGACATTACTTACAGAATTTTATTTGTGCCTCTCTGATAGTGGCTATGTAACTCTTGTTATTTTACTATTAAAAAAAAGCTCTGAAATTCAGTTCTCAACCTGACTGGTAGTACAGTATTTTGAACTCTATGGTAGCTCTCAGAGAGGTTGATTTAATCAACAGCGGTGTAAGCATATGGAGTTCATTGTAATAACTTTTGGTTAATTAGCAGGAGTAAGTCAACTGCATAGCTCATGCTTGGGGTGCCATGCACTGTCTATGATTGAGTCAAGTTCTCTTAAACTTAAACCATGACCAAAGTACTCACAAGTATTAAACATAAGAAACCATTACCACCACCAAACTGTTTCAATATATCTTTTACAAATATTCTTGAACTTCAAAGTAATTTTTTATAAGAAAATAAGATTATTTCTTACTAATCTTACCTCCTGCGAAATTCACCAAATATTACCTGGTCTTTGTGAGACCAGGTAATATTTGGTGTAATTTAAATTTGGCTGTTTCATCTCAGCGTTAATAATTTGATTTTCAAAGTCTCTAATAGTCACATGCTTGTCCTAGGCATATACTTATACAAAAATTTACCTATTTGTTGTTAAAGTAGATTTAGTTGTTAACTTAAATTTAGTTAATTATATTGTTACATTAGATTTAGTAATCCTCTGGCAATTCTTTAATGTGCTTCTGTTTAGCATTTTTTCACTCAATCATCTTTTTTTTTCTTTATGGTTCTCTTTCTGCTCTAGACTGCACTTTTGTGTGTGTGTATTTTTTTATTAAAATGAGCTCTTTATCCATCAGCTAATGTTGTTGTTCGTGACTTTATTGCTCATCACACTTAATGACTCTAGTACCACTGACCTTGCTGGCACAACTTTTATTTTTTAATCTCTTACTCAAATAGTTAACTTTGTGACTCCTTTTTCCAGACAACCCTAACCGCTTACCTTTGTGAATTTGTGTTTACTTTAAATACTATCATGATTGCTGCTTAAAGGAGCATTTTTAGTGATTGCTGCTCAAAGGAGTATCTTAAGTTCCATCAACCAAAACTCATTCTTGCTTGAATTTTCATTTAGCAAAGTTGCATCCTTTACTGTATCTGTCCTTTCATGCATTAAAAACCTTTGTTCATCTTGCTTTTTTTCCCCCTGAGCTTCAATTCTTTTGAACTCTCTTCCATCTTCATGTTTTCCTACTCATTCAATCTTTGACTTTTCAAGTCAACTGTTATCTTGCTTTTCTGTCAACGTCTATCAATTTTTACCTTGCTCTTCAGTCAACTGTCAACCTTGATCTTCTGTCAACTTTTATCAACTGTTACCTTGCTTTTCTATCAACTTCTACCCACCTTGCAATTATACTGAAGGGTACAGCTTAATCATTTGTTACAAAATACTGAAGGATTTATTTTAATCATATGTTACAACAATACTGAATGGTGCAACTTAATCATATGTTACAACAATACTGAATTGTGCAACTTAATCATTTGTTACAATAAGACTGAATTGTGCAACTTAATCATTTATTATAACAATACTTAATTTTGCAACTTAATCATTTGTTACAACAATACTGAATTGTGATACTGCTGATAGCACAACCATAAATGCTTTTTAAAAAATTAAAAAAAAAATGATCACACTAGAGTTATTCTACAGAACTTTTTAGCATGCAAAGTAGGGGAAAGTTGGGTAGCCCCAGACGGCGAGTAACTTTGGACACTTGATATACAGCTTAAACTAAAGAAGCTATGTGATTTTAAATACTATAAAAACATTATTTGATTGAAAATATGGCATATGCAAAATATCATAATATGCCAAAAGGATTGGCTGGGAGTGCAAGATATTGTTTCCCACTACCAGAAGTGCAATGTATCAACATATTTGGTTCACACATTAATATACCTAGTTTTTATGTAAACTAATAACTTTTTATTGTTTAAAGATACATTTTTATTCACAATAATTTTATAAAAATTTTTAATACTTTAATTCACTGGTTTTAAAACTAGTATTTGTGAATGAGGTATGATGAGGTGGTATCAGACACATGTTTGGAGGGTGGTTTGGAGGGACAACTTTATCCATTTACATATTAAAAATGAGCAACTTTTTATATATAAATACTAATAAGTTTAATATAGTACACAAAACTATATTATTATTACTATGTTATTCATTTAATTCCAATAAAAATACCTTAGATTTGAAATTAGTGTTTTTGAAGTGTTTATTTTTATTTGTAAAAAGCTATTTCTAAACGATGACATTTTCATTCCCATTCCTTATATATCAGAGGCCATTTTCAAAGGCAATTTTTTTTTAATGTATTGAGAACAGTCCAATGCTAATTAAATATATATTATATTTGTGTCACACAAGTAAAAAAGAGCTAAAATCGTGGTTAAAGGATATGTACGATATGTAAAAAAAACTTTTTACCCTTTAATTTTAATACATGCCTTTTTTCTAACATTTTTAAAATTATGTTTTGTATGTTAGTAAGGTACATAATAATCATATTTTTGATTTTTAATTCAATAAAGAAATGTTTATACTTTAAAAAAACTTTTTAACACTTTGTTTTCTGTTAGTACATGTGCACGATCTACTTTTTCCTTAAATGTCCGGGGCTACCCAACTTTCACTTAACTAAAATTTATTAATTTATATATATATATATATATATATATATATATATATATATATATATATATATATATATATATATATATATATATATATATATATATATATATATATATATATATATATATATAGTTTAAACCCCCTATAATTTATTGAAGCTTTGGCATCATACTTTGGGAGATGTTAGCAAGAAAAAAGCCATTTGAAGGAAATCCATTTCAAATAATGTGGAAGGTGCATGAAGGTAAGAAGCAATAAGATTATATTACAGTATTAGGCAATAATGTTGTATATAAGCAATAATATATAAGAAGCCAAAGACTTAAAGAAGCAGTTGTATAAGTGATTTAAATTTTTTTAGGAAAGCGGCCTTTTCCAATAAATGGTATTCCATCATGTTTAGAAATTCTCATTCAGAGGTTAGTTGCAATAAACATACTTATATATTTTTATTTTAAATAATCAAACAGGATAACTAGTTTTGTGTATCTATTCATTATTATTATAAAAACCCTTTGTATTTGTTTCTTTGCTCAAATATTAACAAATAGCTTTGGACATAAAGTTTTTAATATTTATTCCAAAAAGTACTTATTTAAAAAATAATAATAATCATAAAATTGCAAATGCTTTTCAATAAAAATATAAAAGGAAGTCATATTATAAAGTGTAATTTATAATTAGTTATACACTTGTTTAGGTATATTTCTTTAGTGATACCCATTCCACATGTTCCTACATAAGTTTTACTGATGCATTTTGATGAAATAACAAGCCAACTTGACAACTATGAAAAAAAATACAAAACAAGGACCCCAAATCTTTAGCTTATATTTTGTTTAGTTGTAATGCTTAACCGATTGTTTTAATGCAATTATTTGAATAACAGAAGTCATTCCCAGTTAAATCATTACTGAATCTATTTAAATATATAGGAATTATATGGAAATATAACTTATATTATGGAAGTATAAAAATTAATTGATGTATTAATCAGTGGATTAAAAAAAATAAAGGTATAAATAAAATACATTATAAACATATATTAGGAACAAAAAGTAAAATAATGACAAATTTAAGTTGAACATTTGAACATTTGAATGGTTAAACATTTGTTGGTCATTTCTAATAAAAACTTTTTTCTAATGATTTTCTCATTTGCCTTCATAAATCTTTTCCTCCATTGTATGATTTACTTCTGTTATATGTGGGCTGGGTCTTTTAACAACATCTTTTCTTTTTTGACTGAGTGCAAAAATGCATCATAAATGTAGTTAGACCTTCTCTAGTGGCCAAGCTTGAGTTTCTCTTAATTCATTATATATATACTTTTTTGTTTGTAAATACTGCAACAATTGCTGCTCAGGTTTTCAAAAAAGCAGGTTACACACCAGTTTTTAAATCACCAAAAAATTTACAACATATACTATCACAAAAAATAAACCTCCTCTTTCTATAAATTCTTATCCAGGTGTGTACAAACTTGAATGCTCCTGTAAAAAATGTTAAAAATGTAAAAAATGTTTGAAAAAATATTGGTAAAGCAAAATTAAAAGTCTTATCTCACATTTACCGACATCAGAAAAATACATACGAAAGAAAATGATATTATTCAGCAATAACGGAGCATTCAAAAAATTGTCATGCTAATTTTACATGGAACAAAAATATTTTAAAAGTAAAGGTCAACAATATTAACAGAAAATAGAGGAAGGCACTTGAAATAAGAATGTGCACCTTCAGACAGAGGTCTGAATCATTGTGACAGAGTTTACGTCATGACTTTCCCATTGAAAACCTATTTTTCAATATTTAAATCAAAACAAGCTGTTGCATTGATTTGTTTTTGCTTTTGTTTTGTTTTTAGCAATTTTTATATATATAAATTATACTTGATAACAAAGGTATATACTATACTGCTTTGAAATATTGTATAAAAATTAATTCAAAAAAATAAAGAGTTACATCCGATATAGATTTTTTTATTTAATTATAGTTTCTACTTACTAATTTCTTGCTTTTTAACTATCTTTTATCCTTCATTATAACTCCCAACTTAACTAGCTGAAGTCTCCAGATCATGTAATAAATCATTTTTATTCTCAAATAGTTTTGTAGGTAAAACTATTTTTGATAGTTGTTAAATTTTATTGTAATTTTTAGTTGTTTATTTGTTTTAATTTATTATAGAAGTAGCATCAAAATATTTTAGATGTAAGAAATCTTCTTATAATCTATATAATCTGATTTAATGTTGTATTTCATCTTTATCTTTTTAATAAAATATTTATTTTCAAGATATAATCATCTAGCAGTTGATCTGATTTGATTCCTGTTATTTTTTGTAAGAAATAATTATTAACTTATTACTGACTAATTTTTTCTACATTATTTACCTTTAGAAAAAAAAACAGTTAACAGTAAAATAATATTAAAATAATATTGTATATACTAAAGTAAGGTAAAATAGAAAGTATAAATAATTCCTGGTGTATGCGGAAAATATTTTTATGACTATCTGGAATGTGAAGGCCCAAAAAAGACTCTCTTGTGAAAGTCACAAAATGATTATTTCTTCAACTTATATTGTATTCTGGATCTCTAAAAATGTAAAAAGACTTATGGTTTATTTTGGGGGGAAAAGTTAAAACTTATAGTTTAAGGAACAATCAAGTTTTGAATCTGGAGTCCTTATGTATAATGGAGAAAAAGACTCTAGGCTAAAAAATAATAAGTTCTAAGTCATAAAATGTTTTGAATTTTTTTCTTATTGCAGAAGTCACTCAATACTTTTAAAGCTCCTGAATACCTAAATCTGAGAAAAAATAAAGAAGTTGGACTCATTTTGGGACTAAATAAATGGTCAAGTTCTGTGAAAACTTTGATTCTGTTATTTTTAACTGAGTTTAACAGTTTTAGAGTCACTTGTGTTTTTTTTTCTAAATTAATTCATGGTGTTCAAAGTTTACATAATGTGTTGAAGAAATAAAGTATAACGAAATAATAAGTAAATTAAAAATATATATATATTCTCTGTTAAATTAAGTTATTATTTAAAAAAAAGTTTTGCTGCACAAATTTCTAGATCCAAATAAAATAATAAACAAAATAAAATTAATGTAATAAAACAATCTGCAAAAGATCTGTATTTTTTTGCTGATATTTTATTAAATTTAAATAAACTTGCTTTTTTTTTTTTTAATTTAATTCACTTCCTGAATAATATAGTTTTTTAAAATAGTCTGTGGAATTCAGCTCATAATCAAGATACAAAGTTGGATTTGAAACTCAATTTTCTTGATTATGAACCAAAAGCAAATATGGCCACTGCGCAGAGAAACCGTCGATACTTCAAGTGGCATAGGTTGGATTTGAATCTAAAATCTCTTGATTATGAACCTTTGGTTCATTTGAGTCAAATGTTTTACCACTAGTCTACTACCATATTTAATTTCTCGTTTCAGATTGTTTTGGAGGTAACTATTTGATTGCATTTTTTTAGGTGTTGGCAGAAAGAAGAAAAAGATCGACCGGCTTTTGTTGATATTGTAAAATTTTTGCGTAAAGCCAACTCGGTATGTAATTTCATGCAGTTTGGTATGTTATACATTATAGTTTTGTTCGATGTTATGCAGTAATAATCAGGAACCTTAAGAATTGGTACTTTATGGCTTCTACATAAAGTTTACAAATAAATTTACTTGACAAATGAGCATTTAGAAATCAAAAATTGTAATGTTTATTGAGAAACTTTTACTTGTTTTCAGAACTCACAAATCAGAAACATCAGAACTTTCCAATCTCAGAAAAAGACAAACTGCCTAAAGCATATTGTTATTCTTTGTAAATTTTTCTTTATTTCATTGTTTGATTTTTCAGATCTGAGGATTACTTTATTATTGGTTTATGCATTGTTTTGATTTAGGCTACCCCATTTCTATGTCATATTCTTTGTAAATCATTTTCTGATTTATTTTATTTTTGATGGATAATCTAATGTATCAATAATAAAGTTATCAGAGCATAACCATTATTAGTATATTTGTTTTTTTTCAATGCTATTGCATTCTTTGCTTTGAGTTTTCTTGAACTAAGGCAACATGCAAATTTGGTTTCATTTCAGATTTTGATGTTTCTGTATACATTTTTGCATTCTAATTCTTAAAATCACTTCATTTTTTTTCAGTTATAATGGTTGTGGAGATAAGCTATAGGTAGTGTGTTCCAGCTAATCTTGTTTGCAGAAACAATGTAATATTTATTAACATGTAGAAATTACAGTTTACATTTATTTGCTTTGAAATTAAAGTTAAATTTATATGCTTATAACATATGGTATTATGTAAGGGGGCATCCAGAAAATAGGTATGAAGTAAAACCACTGGTTTAGGACCCTCTCTCTTTCCTTGTGCACAACTGTATGATTTAATAAAACCCTGAACTACTATTTACATTGAAAAGTTCAGAAAAGTACACAATGATTGTTTTTTCTTTTGTGTGTGGAGACATTAGAATCTACCAAACTCCAGATATAGTCCCTCATCATGGGTTCATCCCATTTTCTTTGGTACTGCATCCTATCTTCCTTGCTATCACAATAACTGTCAAGTAGTTTATTAACTAGTTCCTCATAGTTTTCAATCCTACTGTTTTGAAGAAATTTGTAAACTTTATGCTTAAATGCAAAACGAAACCTTTTTTTTCTCTGTCATTTTGTTTTGAACAGTTTCTGATGTAAACATTTGTCTTACTTGTGATCCAGTAAATACACCAGCTAAAACCTTTTGATAGGTAACATTGATCTGATCTTCTTAAATGTTTCTCCATTGTGATCCAGTGCTTTGGCAAATTGTTTGATCAAGTTCCATTTTATGTGGAGTGAACAGGCTTTCACAGGAAGGTGTACAATTGCTTGTCATTATACTACCATGCAAATAATATTTTGTTTTCATAATTTGATCACTTCTTTTAACATGTTTTTAAAATTTAAAAATGCACTGAAAAAACTTACCTTCACTTAAAAACTTAGATTCACTAAAAAAAAACTTATTTAAAAAAAAAAAAAAAAGATTTTTTAACAGAGAAAATAAAAACTTAACTAAAACTAAAACACAGAAAACAAAAATATAACTTACCTAAAATAAAACTCAACAAGCAAAAATGCTAAGTTTATTTAAATCATGTTTTAATCATGTTTGGAATAATAAACTTGAAATCTTTAATCTTTACTAATGTTTATATAATATTATGGAAAAACCCTCAAAATAAAGAAACAATTTACTTCTATTGATTTTTAAAAAAATACCTCACACTTGATTTAAATTATTTTTTTTTTTTACTAAATTAAAAATATAATATTCCATGTAAATACATGCTAGTAAATAATTATGCATTAAAAATCATTTCATGCTATGTTTAAACATTTATACATTATTTTAATTTTTTTAATTTGTTTCAAAAGATTAACATTTAAAAAATACATAATTATTTAATTAGAAAAAACTTTATATAATATTTAGTAATTTTTTATATAAAAAATCATTAGCATTGTTTTCATACTTCATTGAAAATTGTTTTAATAATATAAAACCATTAAAGATCAAACTTAATTGTACAAATCGCTTTTGAAAGTTGCTACATAGTGACTTTAAAAATCTTTTGTCATTTTTATTCAACTAATATTTTTTTTATCTTTTTAAGTTTATTAACTTTATTGATTTTTATATTAAGTTCATTAAAGAGATTTTTGTTGTCTAAGAAAGTTTTCATTTATAATGACAATATCATTTTTTATTTTTGAAGGTTTATTATAAAATATTACTTATAAAATCTATGTAAGATACAAAAAGTTATGTACAACTTTGAACAATACTTTAAACATTAATCTATATCAGTAAATTGTTACTTCATTTAAATGCATTTTGCTAATAAAAAAAATATTAGTAAATTATAAAAGTTTCAATGTCATTTATTTCTCTAAGATATAATTCAGAATCTTTTTCATTCAGTTTTTGAAATGTTTTTTGAAATAGCCTTGGTTAAATCATCAAAATATTATTTGCCTGGTCATATAATGGCATCCAATCACAAATCGTCCTGTGAAAGCTTAAGGAAGGCAGAAAAATTTTTTGTACAGGTTCTTAATGAACATTCTTTAAATTGTAGATCCCAGGTTGCAAACTTTTTTTTTTAGTCCATTCTCTTTGAATAATAATTACAGTATCTCTACCGTCCCACAAAATCTTTTAATCTGAAAAAAAAAATGTCTTTTTCATATTTATAAAATCAATGCAAAAAGGTGCTGTCTGGCACTAAGCTTCATTATTTTCAGGTTACTCTTTTGTATTTTATCTTAGAAATTAAGTTCTGAAGGCTTTTGAGAAATATTTAACAATGTTGTTAACAAAAGCAAGTCTAACATTCCATATCTTAAGCATGATTTAATCACCTCTCCAAGAATAAATACTTGTTGTCCTGCATGTTTAAAATAACTTCTCAATTAAAATCCTCTACAGCTTGTGGTTCTGAAAACATTCCTGTCATAGTCTTATAAAAGCAATTTTTTTTTTCTTTATTAAAGCATTTTTTTATTTTCTTAATGAACTATTTATCTACTTATCTGGAATTGATGCTCATTTTTGTAAATGTTCTCATTTTGTAAAAATTGTTTCTAAAAATTGTACACACATTTTGATTTTCAGATATAATATAATTACTATGTTATAATTTATTGTATTATTGTGATTTTATGGCAATCTAGTATGTATCGGGCGGAGAATTACCTTTGATGGAGTGCGCACAATCTGCTTGCAAACAATCATGGGGTATAAAATTTTCAAAATAATTGTTTTTATTTACCAAAATATAATTTAAAAAAAAAAAATTTACAAAGTTTAAACTATACATTTTCCTCAAAGTTGATAGTGAAACAAAGACATCAATACCTAGCGAAACAAATGAAGATCGTATTACTGAAACAAGTCAATCAGTTATATCAGAAAGTAATCATATGCCTTCAATGAACCCCTCTCCATTTATTGCTATATCTTCACCCAAAATTTCAAAAAGAATTTTTTTAAGCTATCCAGAAAACTTTGATCCTCAAATAATACCAGAAACTTCATCAACAAGCAGTAAGAATTATTTTTGAATATTTAGTATTTATTTTGCTTGTATATTTTTCTGTACATAATATTGTTGGTATTTTAAGTAGTAATCTATGTTTCATTCATAAGTAGTAATCTATGTTTCATTAATCTCTGATTATGATTTCTTGTACTTTTTTTTTTCATTATGTGTTATACCCTAGATTTGCATTCTAGTCAAAGTTTTAATTTGATTCCACCTGATTTGCTGCCAATGAAACCATTAGAAGATCCTGAATCTATTCAAATATATAGGAATCATATGGAAGTATAACTTACTTGTATAGGTTATAAATATATATATGTATATAAATATATATATATGAATATATATATATATATATATATATACATATATATATATATATATATATATATATATACATATAGATATATATATATACATATAGATATATATATATACATATAGATATATATATATATATATATATATATATATATATATATATATATATATATATATATATATATATATATATATATATATATATATATATATATATATATATATATATATATATATATATATATATATGTGAAATTTTACCTTTATGTTGGTATTTTAGTGTTTTTTTAACTTTAGTCATATTAAAACATCCTAAATCCAAATCATTAGGTGCATGATTTCTACTTTTTTGCATTAGTGTTAATGTTGTTAATAAAGTTTATTGGAGGTTAACACCACATTCTCAACCTAGTCCTTCACTTTGGATTTCTTCTTCTCTATACATTCAGTCACCTTGCTATCAGTTTATTAAAGAATTTTTAGCTGGTTATGAAGAAAAAAAAGTTATTTTGGAAAAGAAAAATACCAAGGACTGAAAACCCAGGCAAGTTACAGCACTTCATTTTCTATACTGATGATGAAAACCCAGGCAAGTTACAGCACTTCACTTTCTATACTGAATAATATCATAATGGCTAGTTTTTTAACAGTGATTTAAAAATCTTTTTTATATAAGGTTACCTATGCTATGTTGACTGTTCTTATAATAAATGACTTGTAAACAACTGAATATTCTTATGATGGTTCCATTCATTATAAAATTGTTAGGTGCAGAAATTTTTTTTACAACTAAAAGTTGTTACTAAAGATTATTGTCAAAATTTTATTGTTTGTCACCACAAGTTTTTAAATTTAAAAAATGTCATAATCCTAATATATTTAATTGTTATATTGTATATATAATTTAAAAATAAATTATGCTTTCACACAAGTTTTTCAAAAAATAGTAATAATTTCAAAAAGTTTTTTTTTTCAAAAATATTTTTTATAATTTTAACAGGAATTGGAAAAATACTTATCTATACAAAGAAATATAGAGTTTCTTAAACAAAAAAAGTAAGAGACTTTTTTGTTTTGTTTGTTTTTCTGGGTTTTATTTATATTTTAAACATAAAAATGTTTAGTTCAGTATTGTAAAGAAATAAAATTTTAACGTTTTGTAAATTTATATTAAATTTGAAAACATTATGTATAACAAGTTTTATATAAACTGTCAAATTTTATATAATTTTATATTATCTCAGCTGACATGTCAATCTTGAAGTAACTTAGAAAAAAAGGCTGAGCATAGACAAAGGGCTACAATCTCAATTTTAAATTTGATTCAACAGAAACAGATTTCTGTTTTTAAAATAAAATAAAAGCAATTTTTTTGACATCAAGTTACAGATTTTTTTGAAGTTATAGATAAAAGTTAAATCACTAGAGCAAGTTAGTAATTCCATGGTTACTAAGCCAGAATAACATGTCGTTCCATGGTTACTAAGCCAGAATAACATGTCGTTCTATTACAGAATAACATACATCTGCTATTGAAATGTTAGCAATAGCAATCCAGTTTTTTCAACCACAACTTTTCCTAACATATTATTTTCTTAATGCAAATACATATACCTCAATATAGCCAACACTCTTCTTTATTTTAAGTAATTTCTGGGGTGCCTAATGGTTTTATCCTTGGTCTTGTTCTGTTTTTTATCTACATTAATGATCTTCCTGACAACCTTACATCTAAAGTGGCTCTATTTGCTGGAAACTCAGCTTTATACTTCTGTCTTAGTCCTGTTTTGTTTCTTATCTACATTAATGAGTTGCCTGACAACACTACATCTAAAGTGGCTCTATTTGCTGACGGCTCAACTTTTGTATTGACAAAAAGTCCTCTCTTTTCAATTGTCTAAAACAGGTAGCCAATCTTGAATCTGATCTTACTTAGATGAAAACATCACAATACTGTTATTATTAAATATATTCCTATATTGATGAATGACAACCCTCTCACTAAGGGTCATCTTTCTTTACATCTTCTTAGATTGTTGTTCACTACTGACCTCCCATGGAAACCATATATAAAATTGATTGCTAATTTAGCCTCTGCTATGGTTACTTCTCTTTATCATGCTCGCCATTTTCTTACTCGTGATTGATTTCTACCTCTACAATTTCCCCTTTATGAAATAATGTTGTCATATTTAGGCAGGTTTTTTTAATGATGCTCTTTCTCTTCTAGACAAGATCCAAAAACGCATTGTAAATGTAGTTGGATCTACTGTATTTGCCAAGCTGTAGCTTCTCTCTCATCGTTGTTAGGTTGTGTCTCTTTCTCTTTTTTACAAATACTATAACGGTCGCTGCTCAAAGGAGATAACATCTCTAGTTCCATTAAACAAAAACTTATTCTTGCTTGACTCATTATTCAGCAAAGTCTCATCTTTTTATATGTTAATTTTTTTTCCTGCACTTCATCCCTTTAGAACTTTCTCCCATCTTTATGTTTTCCTGACTCAAACAACCTTCAACTTTTTAAGTCTTCTGACAAAATTTTGAAATTACAATGACAAAATCATCATCAACGTAAAATCAGCCTATAAAAGATATGTACTTAAGTTAAATCACAGACAATAAAAAAAGAAGAAAGTCAATTGGCAAAAAATGTTGTCAGCAATCAAATAAAAGTTGTTAAAACAAGACGAGATCAACTGAAGAAAACTAGTGAAATGTTGCAGTTTGATTTTGTAAAATTTGTTGAGGAATCAGAGAAGAAGCAAGATCAGGGTTTCTAAAGTTAATGCTTTGTAAATGTAACGAAAATCAAATGAGAAACAAAAAAAATTAAGAAAATAAAGCTAGCACTTAGTATCTTAAAGCAAAAAAGAAAGTTGCTAAATAAACTTTACCCAGAATAGTTCTCATGAAATTTATATTTTGTTATCAAAACACATTACTTTATTCATAAGAAATACAAACTGTTATTTTTAAAATATATTTTATATAAATATTCTTGTTTAAACTACTTTTTATAACTAAGACATTTGATTTGAATGGATTACTATCAACTAATTAAAGAGAAGTTATTTAACTTCTCAAAAATTCTGATAAAAAATATTACGGGAATATTGATTTAGTTATAAAGTATTAATCCTTCAACATTAACAAGTAAAATTATATACTTTTCATCACCCGAACTCAGGGAAAAAGTACTTGAAAACAGAGGAAAATCAAGGAATACTCAGGTACCATGAATTTTTGGACTGCCATGAACCCTGATAGTGCATTAAATGCTCTGCATTGTATTTCGGATTCTGCATTAAATGTTCTAGATATCGGTTGTTGTTTTTTTTTTGTGGGTTTTACTGTTATTTCGTTAATTAACGATATCCAATATGTTGTTACAAGTGTGGTGATGTTTCATTGCTCTTAACATAATGGTGTATTTAATGTGGCATTTTTTATGAATTGTAGTAACCTAATACATTTAAAACTTTTTTTGTAGGGAAAATTTACAAAAGAATATAATTGAAATAAATTTACAACAAACAAAAAGTATGAACGACTTCATTTCAGCTCAGGAAACCAGGGTTAGATTTTTATCGCTGTTTAACTTGTTTTTTCAATGTTTTAATTATCTATAGTTTACATTTTTCATTTAATTTTTTTTTATTTAGCAACAATTACTGGATATGCACAAGACGATAAAACCATTGTTACAAAAAGAACGTGCTAAATTTGCTGGAACATCTTTAATAGATCCCAATGTGCGATGAATAAATCCATTGTTGTTCAATTGACAAAAAATTTTTTTTAATTAAACCGACGGTTTTTTGTAATATATTATGAATTATGCATATTACGTGCAATATAGGACAAATTCTGAGTGCTCTCAGACAATAGAAATGTTTTAATTTTATAAATTTTTTGCAATTCCGTGTAATTGTAAAATTACGGCTGCTTTTTGTACATAATGTTAAAGTTAATAAATTAAAAGAAAAAAATTTATTTCTTGTTTTACTTTCAATGCTAAGAATGGTAAGAAAATTATTAATATAATTTCTATTACTAATTTTTCATTCTAAGTTTATATTCGCTTTATTTAGAATTTAATTTTGTTGCCTGATATATTTCTTATATTTGTTTTATAAGATTATTTCTTCTTGAAATGAAAATAGCAGTACTAGAAAATTATTTGTATTTTTTTAATTATTAGATTTAGTAAATGGAGCAAATGAGAGTTCGATACATCCAAGAATACCGTTATTTTTGATAAAATTATTGTTATTGAGGGATGCATTAAAATAACATTGATTTTAAAGTTAGTTTATAAAATTTACAAAGATTTTCTTAATTTTTATAGGAAAAGTATTACTTCGACTGTAATATACTCTTTATTTGTAAACACAAATCAACGATAAGAATATTTTCTAAACATTTCAAAGTGGGCCGAGGATGTCATTGTACACCAGCAAAATGCAACATTATTTTGAAGCATCATAGAGGGGCTAAATCTTACTTATATATACAAAATACTTTAGGATGTTCAGCAAAGATGATTTCAAATGCCATGAATTAAAATGCGAAAGTTGAAAAACCATTTTTATCGGCTAAGCAAGTTAAAAATGATCTTAAATTACAAGTGAGTGACAACTGTTTGTAGATGCTTAATAGAGAAAGTTTATATGCACACAGTTCATGAAAGGTCCTTTTGTAGACAAAAAAAACACCATAAATGTTTGCAGTTGCGAATAAACATCTGATTTGGCCTATCAAATAGTGGCGCAACGTATTATGGACCAATGAAAATTGTTCTTTATGGAGGTTCAAAACAATATGTCCAGTTTATTCGGACATTCAATTAATACTGGATTCCAGAAAAAATATACCATTAAGTCTGTGAAACATAGTGTATCCAAAGTCACGATATGGAGTTGCATCTCATATAACGGTGTCGGCTCTATTTATAAGAATAATGGTATCATGGACCAACATATATTTGTTGACATCCTCAATTATGTTATGCGGTACTATGCTAATGAAAATATGCCGCTAAAATGGGTTCACCCTTCTAGCCAGCATTTTAGATAAAATAGACGTGGTCTTCTTACCTTACCTTCATTTTTAATTGAAATATTTTGAAGCAAAATCTAAAACTATTATCTTCGATCATAATGTCAAATAACTCTCTAATAGAATATATTTCACGTTTTTCTACAAAAAAGGAAACGAATTTGATTCAAACAATCAAGAACCACCGATGTAAACCAGAGTTAATGAAAATCCATCGTAAATGTCGGAGGAGGCTTACTTATCTGAAGTAAGCCTCCTCCGTAAGTCGGAGGAGGCTTACTTATCTGAAGTAAGCCTCCTTACGTTCCTCACTTGAAGTGAGGAACGTAACCTATAAGGTCCAGACCTAATAGGTTTTTTCCAAAATTTAGTAAGCCTCCTCCGACAATTATGATGGATTTTTTTTTAGCAACTGTCAAGGTATTAAATGAAGAAATAGCGTCAATGGAATGCAGTATAGATTTTAAACCCAGTTTTGATGGTATCGCAGGCGGAGAGAAGAGGGTTCTGAATCGTTAAAAACATTTATGATATTGCTGATTCCCTCCAGTCAAATACAAATGAATCAGAGGAAATTTATCATAGAATCTTTAAGATCAAAAGTTTCATTGCGAAAATACCATTTGAAGTTGTCATTATTATTGATAAATCTACTTAATACAAACAGCTTATTCAATATTTCTCACGACTTTGGTTTTCAATCACTTCAGATATAATCACTCGTTTAAAAAATCAGCGATTGAAGAGACGAATTTAAATGAAATCAAATATCACAAAGTAATGGTTCAATCGGTAGCTGATAATGTCGTAACATATTGTAACATTAACAACGAAAGGCACATTTCATGGGATGGGAACAATCACCATAGAGAAAAAGTAGATTGAATCGTTTGGTAAAGTTCTAAGATTGAGGCAACTTTTACAAACAGCAGCCTTTATTAACAGCCGTGGTATAGAGATTGTGCCATACTGCAAATCATCACTGATAAGACAGTTTCAATTTGAAACAATCTCCGAAGTTACAGTAACATCGTCAAACTCTGATATAGATTTACAGTTTCTACTTGATCTACAGTGATCTCCTGTTTCATGCAAATTGGTTTTTGTCATCAACTGAAGAACCTTGTCTAAACTGATTCTAGTTTTTATGATGCTCAATATTTCAACTTTCATACAATGATTTCAATCAGCTTTTTGATTTCTCCAGATAATATACCATGATCCTTCTAATGAATCATGCATATTTGCTTTTTTTGAGTTGAGCTTTTACCAACTTTGAAATTTTCCAGTAAAATTTCAGTTGAATTTTAAATTTTCAATTCCAAAAAAAGGTTCAGCAGTCAAGCCTTTTTTTTTGTGCTGTTTCTTGAATTCTACTTTTTTGTGCTGTTTCTTGGTTTCTACTTTTTCGTGCTGTTTCTTGATTTCTACTTTTTTGTGCTGTTTCTTAATTTCTACTTTTCTGCGCTGTTTCTTGGTTTTTACTTAGAGAACCTTATTTTTAAATTGATATTTTTGAAATAACCTAACAATTTTTCTGAATTTTGTGATGAACAATTGCAAGTATTTTCACTTTCGGAATAGGAATATTTTCATCTATGGAATCACCAAGAAAATTGACTTGACTTTGGATTTGTTACTGCTGAATTCACCTTTGCCTTTTGTTACTTGCAATGAATTGTTACCAATTTTTATTGATGTTGCAAACACGGTAATATGGCGTTTGCAATTTCATTGAGAATGACACATTATGCAGTAAAGAAAACATGTTTTCTTTACTGCATAATGTGTCATTCTCAATGAAATTGCAAACGCCATATTACCGTGTTTGCAACATCAATAAAAATTGGTGTAAATGTAATTGGTGTAAATGTAAAATTGGTGTAAATAAACATTTCTGTAAGAAACTTTAATTCGTGATTTATGTACATAAATCACGAATTAAAGTTTCTTACAGAAATGTTTATAGAAAATGATTATTAAAAAAAATACTTCAAAACATTGTTGAAAAAATTAAAAATAATAAGCAAAATAATCAATAAAACAACAACAATAACATCAAAAAACTACAACTTAACTATATTTCTCTACCATGGGTGCCAAAATTAAGTAATCAGTTAAAAAAGATATTTAAAAATGCTGGCTATACTCCAGTTTCTAAATCACCAAACAACCTTCAACAACTCTTATCCAGGAGTCTACAAACTGGAGTGTTTGTGTGGAAAACTTTATGTAGGTGAAACAAAACTCAAGGTTTCAAATCGCATTTACCAACATCAAAAACATACTTTTGAGGGAAAATGGAAAAATTCAGCTGTAGCGGGGCATTCCAGAAATTGCCATGGTGCTTTTAGCTGGAATAAAAACAATACTGTTAAAGTAGAGGAAGACTATTTTAAGAGAAAAGTGAGAGAGTCTTTGGAAATTCAGTACCACCAGTGCTCTCCAAATGAAGGTGGTTTGAATGAAGACGACGGCGATTACGTCACGTCGTTGTTTTGGAAACCTTATTTTTCTTAAGACGCAAGAACACATTACATTGAAGTTTTATTATTTGTTTATTTGTTGTTGTTTTTTTTGTATTACTTGAATAACGAGGGTATATATAAGCCCTAGAAATATTGTATTTTATTATAAAGAAATATAACAGATGTTTTAACTTAATTAATTATATAAAAACTTATCTAAGATGTTAACTTTTAAAAATTATATTGAGAATGACTGTATTTTGACCCAAATAGGCTAAACAAGTTTTTTATTAATACTAAAATAGTAATAATTACTCCTAACAAGCATGCAAGCAACAGTAAGCTGAGAGCTAACAAGCATGCAAGCAACAGTAAGCAGAGAGTTGAAAATTATGCCAGCAACGACAAGTAGAGAGTTAACTGAAAGGAGAAAAATAAGTTCAATAGCAAGAAAATTTTGATATTTTTTGTCAATAAATTTTAAATAAAAATAGTCATGTTTTCTAAAATCTCTGTGAAAAAACGCTTCTTTTTAGACCCAGATTTTGAGACAAACTTTGATTTTTTTAGGGACTTTATCCCAAATGATAAAAGTTTAAACCCAAATACCTTTACAACTTAACGTGATGGTGAAAAATGGATTGCATATTTGAAATCAAAAGAAGAAATGCTATAAAAAAAATTTATTGTTTGATTTGCAATAGAAAAATATTTTTTGCTGTTGGGCTTCTTATTATTGTTAAAACTGAAATAAAATCTTTAAAGAGTTTAATAATTAAGTAAAAACTTTTGAGACCCAGAACTACTTTTGAGACCCAGATTGACGAACTTAAAAATTTTTTTTTGACAATATTAGGGACTTTACACAAAATGGTAAAAGTTTGAACCTAAATATCTTTATAAATTGACGTGATGGTGAAAAATGGACTGCTTGAAGTCAAAAGGAGAAACACTATACAAAAAATTAATTGACTGCTTTGCAATAGAAAAATATTTTTTGTAATTGACCTTAGTTATAGTTGTTAAATTTAAAATAACATCTTTTTTAAATTAAACAAAAACTACTTTTATAGACTTAGCTTTTTATAAGTCTATTATTGTTAACAATATTTTAACGGAACGTAAATAACCTTGTTACAACGCGGTACTGGATTAAGGAAAACTGACACCAAAGGCAGTAAAAACTTTAGAGGGTCCCATTTTTTTAAAGTGACAAAGTACTGAGTAACCAGATGCTAACAAATATAGAACAAATTTTAAAAGAAAATTTAACGTGGATTTAGTTTGTTCGTGATTATGATGATACATTTGACCACGCAACATATTTTTGTATTGGCCGCAACTTACATAAAGACATCAAATGATACAAATTTTTCATACGCCGTTCATAATGACAATAAACGCGTTTAATGTTTTTAATGTTAATAACTGTATAAAACTGAAATAAAACAACATGGAAAGGTTTTA